ATCTGTGTAGGGATGTTTTGAAACCAGAGCTGAAACTCACGGAAGAGACAGTAATTAGCACAGATATTGTGCCAGCTAATTTTCTATAGCATTTTCACCACCCAATGAAATGTGATCATGCATCTCTCAGCCCGAGGAATAACATGAGCAATACACAAGGCATTTCAAAATGATGCTCCATTTTGATCACATCTCAATGAACAGGAATGAGAAAAAAAAATGGTAGACCACTTGGCATGTGAAAACAGAAAAATGAAAATCTGTGGTACTGTAAGCTCAGAGGGACTCTTTTCTAGCTTGCATAGTCATTTTTCTGTCGTGTAAACAGATGTTAATTGCTATTTTATTTCAGTAGGGTAGCATTTTATGACCCCTCAGGACTCACTTCTGCTCAATATAAGTAACAATGTCTGTGGAAGACCATGGAGAAGCTGTGTGTGAGCTGTAGTTTATTGACAACTATGAATCCCGGGAGGCTTTCCTGCTCCTTAGGCTTAAGAAGAGATGGATATTGTTTGATAAGTGAACTCTTCCTCTCTCCTTGACCTCCCATCTCCTTCTTCCTGCTCACATACTGTGCTGACCAAAATCCTTCAGATGAAGAATTCAGTACTGGCATCTTTTATATTTAAAAATGACACAAACAAATGGGCTTAAATTTGTGCTTTTTAAAAAACACTATGTTTGTGTTCTTTTTCCTTAATATGTAAATGTCACATTCCCATGTCTTTCATGCTCACTCTCTGCCTATTATCACCGTGAAGGCTAAAAACATGCTGTCCTTTTGAATGAGTCTCACATTCCAAACCTTGTGCTTTAAAAACAAAGAGCAAGAATAATACAGAGAAAAGAAAATTAGAGAGAGAAACATGATAATGTTACAAGGGAAGGCAGCATTGTTCAGTGCATTCCCTTGGTGAAGTTTGAACCATTTATAAAGATCCACTTTATATGTAGACAAAACTGATTTCTAAATCACCCTTTCTTCAAACCATCATAAGCAGCATCACGTCACAGGTGCGTCCCTCCTGTTGGGTTAGGGGCTGTCTCAGAGGCAGACCTTACCTGACGCTTGACGTCAACTTCCAAATTAAATCCAGCATCCCAATGGAAAATGCTGCGGACTAATGACAGATGTAGCCCACTCTCACCGAGTGATACCCACATCTGTAGTTCTCCACAGAAGTTCTTTGAGGTAGAAAACATGTTTTCTAACATCCTGCAGGTCTTTTTTACATGGTGACATCTTTAGACAAGCCCAATCGCTCAGAGCACTGCCCATGTTTGTGGGCATGGCTTGATTTCCACAGTGGCCACCTGCTCTCTGCATTCATACCAAGAGAAGGCAGTCAGCACATTTTGTGAGAATAAAGAGATTTTTTTTTAACAAGAAAAGATTCCACACTTAATGCTGCTGAATATATACATATATACATGTATACATATATATACATATATATATATATATAAAATTCAGTCTTTTTACTGCAAACTGAGAATATAAGGCCCCAGAGATGCAGGAGCATACAGCAGTACAGGTAAAACTAATTGTGCTTCAGAATATGACATCCACAATGCAGTGAGTAAATAAAGAGCAATGCAATGCGAGGCAGGTACTGAGAATTCATATGACAGTAATGTGAAACACGGAAAAAAAATCTATAATTAAGTGAGTAAGAAGTGAGAGTGGAAATACATAGCAAAGAAAAACAATATTTAAATTTAAAACTTTATCTTAAGGAAGACCAACATGAGGCCGAGTCATTAGGAAAGAAATATGACCGAAGGCCAGAGTCTACCTTGCAAACAAGGTTCCAAATCATCAGCGTGAATGCAGGTTCAGTGACAGAGGAATACCAGTTTATTATCACTAATATGATACTGATTTTAAGAGGTAGCTGGGTGTTATTAAAACTAAATTATTTTTATCTATTTAAAAGAAAATGACTGCTGCTTTGGTTTCCCTCAAGCTGTACCTCTGTCTTTTTCCCAGCTCTTTTGTGCCCTTTCTCTCCTCCAGTTAATATTCTGGGTTGCAACTTCCTTTTATAAGGATTAAAGCTAAGCTGTGCATGTGATATCTTTGTTTTCTACCTATTATTTTCTAAGGTGCCACATTACTACCTTCTAGTACGTGAAATATTACCTTTTGCTATTTAACAAACTAAGCTCTAGCAAAAAACATAAGATGAAGTGGTAATCTAATCTGAGACACCATAATGAGATATCAGGGTGGTTCATGAAGAGCAAATGCCTAGCCTTACTATAATCTGTGGGAAAATGGCTATTAATTTCTGTGTTTCACCCAAATAAATTATTTTTACATTTACGTCTCAGCTTATCCCATATCCTAATCCTCATTAAACAACAGGGCTAGATCTTCCAGCGAAGCTTCATTCCTTCATACTAACTCATGATGTACATCATTGATATTTGCGCTCACAGATTTGTTTATTTTAGGAAGGCCTACTTCACGATCTCCAGGAATTTAAAGACTAAAACCATCACCCATTTTTAACCCAGAAATTAGTATCTGGCCAAAATAGTGCATCTTGCCCAGCAGATCTCAAAAAAACTATGAATTTGTGATGTATTAGATAATGAAATCTATTCAAAGAAGATCTTCTTTTGCAACCTCCACACATACTATTGCAGAGTCTGGGAAAGAGAAAAATGTGTGGAAGAGGACAGACTTGGAGGGCATTGGCCTCCCAGATAGTGACTCAAATGTTTTTAGTGACTTACAGGTGTGAAAAGTGTCTCTGCTGCACAGTGCAAATCTCACTGACACCCTCTGTGCCCACATAGGCTTCATCTGCCAAGATGTGAGTATCTTTCCTCCTCATTTTAGCATAGCATCCAGCCTCTCCAAATATGTAAGTCAAGCCCTTCCTTTGCTCTTGAAGTATTCTTGCCACCCTCTTAAACAAAGCTTGCAGTATGCAATGATGTAAAGAAATGTTTTTCTTTAATTATCATTTATGGAATGCATTTTTGGAATGCATGATATTCAAAAAGCTTGCCAATCTGAAGTTATTAAGGAAAGAAGACAAAAACTCTTCCAGAAATGCGCTCAGACTGATTTGAGATGTGAAGCAAGGAGAGCAGTAGGCAAGAATCTGAATGTTGCTCAGCTTCTGCCACTGATTCACTGCGATTCTTTTGGCTGGTCCTTTAGTGTGCACTAGTTTACTCATTGCTTAAAGGAAAGCTTAAAGGCTTAGAGGAAAAACAATATTTATTTCCTTTCACATAGCTGTCCTGAGTCGTACTAAACAATGCTTTGGATGAAAGGAACCATAAGAATGCAAAGCTCTTATTATATATTATTTATTATAATTCAAGATAAGTGTCATCACACTGGAAGGGGATTATCATTCCAAAGCCCAGAGGGTGGGTACCCTTTTGTATATATAAAACTCATCAACCACCCTGTCTCACATGAAGGCTGACTGAAGACAGGTGAGTCTGAATTCACTTATAAAATATCCTTTTAGAGGTAGAATCCTTAATTTTGCTTTGGTTTAGCATTTGTTAATTTTGTGATTATCATGCTGCTCTTGCTTAAGGCTTAAGTCTATGATGATTTTTATAACAGGAAGAGAAAAAAAAAGGAGACAAATAACTTAAATATTTATAATATGTCGATTTTCTCTGTGTGGAAACAACCACCAACTGCTGCTTTCAATGGGGCTTCATATTTGCCATTAAATTAATAGGTAGCAGGCCACCCACATCGATCCAGTCTTGCCGATAGTCATTGTTTGTGTTAGAGCTGCTATGTGGGCCCGCCACAGGCTCTGAGCATTTGCTGGGTTGAACAAACTCTCTGAGGACGAGGGAGTCCTTCCAATAACATCAATGAACATCTTGTGTTTGTGTGTCCCTGAAGGTCGATTTACACGGAAATGCCTATTAGACTATAGAAAAGGCCAAGCATTATGAAAATCAATAGGGCACTTTCAAGTGATAATAACATTGTGTGATGGCTTTGTCAGTCTCATGACCGGCTTTGTCAGTCTCATAACCAGCTTTGTACTTGAAATCCTACTGAGGAAAAAGCATTTTTAAGCCAAAAAAAAAAAAAGCTCTGTTTAAAAGCACTCACAAGCAAGTTAGGTGCAGTTGATGTATTTTTTCTTTTTTTCCAGCTGATAGCTATTAACTGATAATATTTTGGAACTCTAATAATAAGCCTAACTGATGCATTTATTACTAGAGTGGTTATCTGCCATTATTAAATACAGAAATTAATGCAGAATTTTTATTTCACCAGCAAAAAAATTGAAATTGCTTTGCTAAATTCTTAGCAAAGAATTTTCAGTTCTTGAAAGCATGCTTTTCCCAAAGTCAAGGAAAGAAGTGTCACCTTTTGAACAGGAAAACAAAAGATCTCTGCACTCTGCAGTATACCAGACTTCAAACACCTGAATAATTAGATATGTCTCTGCACTGTACTGTGCTTTCATACCGTAACGATATGCAAAAGGTGTTCAAGAAGGGCTGTATGGATGAGGGATATGAAATGATGGGGGAAATATACCCCTCCCTCCCAGCTGCCAGTAGGGATCTCCTCACTCACGTGAGCTGCACGGGCTCAGGGCTTGCCCCTGAATGCCGAAGTGGAGGGCAAGCAAGACCAGGCAGATGTTCAGCCACAGGAGGGGATGGCATCACCCAAAATGGGTCTCTCTCCGCTTGCTTCTCCTTCCAGCACCTTTAGTGAAGCTGCTTGCTGCTGGGAGAGCCCAGGGCAGCATATCATGGGAGGGAATATCATGAGAAGGGAATTCCCCTGCTTTTCTCAGTGCTGTTGCTGCCCGATGCCTTGGGGTGCCAGCTCCTTCTAGTAGGCAAACGTTGCTACGGTGCAATTGGAAACCTCACTGATTTCTTCATGTTTTCTCCACCGGTTCTTCATGTTGCATCACGGATGTCCTCACATTTTGCCAACGGACGTGTTTTCAGGTTTCCTGGGGCTACCGAAGAAAAGTGTCACCATGGGCCCTGCACTTCTTCTGCTCGGCCTCGCCGCCCTTATTGGTGAGCTGGGGCCTCAATTGGGCTGAGTTTAGTGCCATGAGCATCCCCATGACCTGTTCATAGAGGGAGCGTGGGGAGGAGGAGCACAGGGAGGTCCCCTTTCTGTATCACTCTGTAAAACCATGTGTGGTTAAATGTCCTCTGTTTTCATGGGAGGTTGCTTGCCTCCTGCCCACACCAATATGCAGAACGGGCTCAGCACCAAGCTGCAGTGACAAGCATTTCTATTCCTGGTTTTACCAGGTAATCTTATCTGATCCCTCCATCTACTCAGAAACCACCTCACAGATGTCATTGGCTGCTTGACGGAGTCTATTAATTTATCAGATATTGAGGAAACAGTGTAATTTGCCCAGGCCACGCAAATGTTCACCCAAATAAATTCCTCACCGATTTACAGTGAGACGTAGATGTTCCCAGCTGGGATGTCTTGATACCATCAGCCAAAAGGGCCCTAGGTGTCAAGGGGCATTGCCCGGAAAGTGTCCTCTGAGATAAATGCAGAGACTGTGGGCCCCTTCCCCCAAAGCAGCCCAGTGGGGCAGGACCAAATATGTGCAACACATCAATAGATTCATTCCCTTCAACTCATTAAACTAGAAAAGAAAAAATTCTGTTCTCAAGATCTCTTTGATAATGTTCTTGACAGAGAGCAGTGACAATAGCATGAACATGGTGAACTCAGGATTATTTGGCTATTTGGTCTGGATGCAATCTTCACACTTAACCTTTATTCACTTGCACAATATTGCTCCTAGATCTTATGTTTTCCAACACCTCTGTTTAATGTTTCAGCTCCATCTGTGAGTTACAGTTGCTATGGCGATATAAGTACTTTTCAAGCCCCTGTGATTTCCTGTACAGCCGTAAGAACTCCTGACTGTGGTAGGTACAAATCATTGCTCGATTTGCCATATTTCAGCATACAGATCTATTTGTAGATGATGGAGAGATGCTTCACTTTTTCCATTATTGCCAAGTTAAAGGTGGTATAGCTAGTCAGTTAACCAAAGAAGGCACAAAGCAATCCAAAATAAAGTGGTCGGTGCTGCTAATCCTCAGGTGGGAGGACTCGCTCATGCCCTTACGGTCAGGACCAGCTTCTAGGCCAGGTAAAATGGTGCCTTCTCAAAATTCCAGAGTCTCTCAGCTTCAAAGGGAAGCCGCACAAAAGCTGGCATGTTTGGCTGACACATGTCACAGGCTCTGATCAAAGGAGAAAGGTCCTAAGCTTGTAGTCATCCTACTGCTGAGTGACGTGGTTTTTGTATCTCCTTCCCATTTTCTGGCACATTGTAGAATGCTAAGTTCTTCAGACAACATATTGTTTCAACTCCTCCCTTTTGGGGAGGACCAGAACTTGCAGAAGAAATAAAAGACATGCCAGCACTAAAATATGGAGAGCAGAAAGAAAGCTGTCCTTTGCCACGTGTGCAACCCTAACTTAGCTGAAAGCCAGTCAAGGTGGCAGCCAGAGCGAACTGCCTTCTTTACAGCCACTTCACATGGTTTCCACTCAGGAAGGCTTCTACACTGAATTTTATTTCCTTTTCCATTTCTTTTCCACCATCTGAATACAGTAGGGGTTCACCTGTTACTCAGAAGAGGCCCCTAGGGAACAGATTGCAGGAAACAGCAATAGCTGGGAGTGAGGCACTCACTGGTGGGGGGGGCTACAGCGGAGGAGATCCCAGCCTGGTACCGGCACCGATCCCAAAGAACCATAGAATCATAGAATCACTATGGTTGGAAAAGACCTTCAAGATCACTGAGTCCAACCGTAAATCTATAACCACTATGTCCTTAAGTGCCTCATCTACACGTTCCTTGAACACTGCCAGGGACTGTGACTCCAGCTCTTCCCTGGGCAGCCTGTTCCAATGCTTGGCTACTCTTTCCGTGAGAAAGAGGATGCCCATTATCTCTCAAAAATTAGGTAGGTGAAATGCACTGCGTATTCTACCTTTACACTACCAGTCTTATGCAGCATCCTATGCCTATTTTCTGCTTTCGTGTTTGTGTGCTAGGTGTCACTAAGTAGCAGGCTACCTTAGTCTTCTGCTTTGGACTGAGCTGAACATCCCTTTAGAACTCACTGACTGTATGGCCCAGACCTCCATGGATACCTGGAGGATTCAACCCATACCTCATATGTAGGAACCTCCACAGCAGACACCTGAGTGTGGTATCCAAGGATGAATCTGAATCTACAAGTTTGCAAAAGTGGTTAAAAACTCTTTATTAACAGACTGACAAATTGACCATTAATACTCTTTGGTGGTTACCTCTCTCTTTTTTTTTTTTTTCAAACACGGTTTGAAATTTTACTTTTCCAAATGCAGAACAACGTTTCCAGCAGTGCAGCAGCAAAGGAGGAGTACAAATTGCACAGTTCTACCACTTCAGACAGCAGCAGCCAGTGGGTGACCAAAGCTGCCCTCTTCACCTTGTCCCCAGTTCAGAGATAAACACAGGGTATTGGCACTGCAGCTCAACAATTATGCTCAGAAGTTGATGGGCTGTGTGTGCTCCTCAAACGTGTAGCTGTGTTTTTTTTTTCTTTCCAAGCAAGAATTTACGCCTTTGCTATACGAGTTCAACTGCAAAGTGAAAGTTTCGAAAGTTAGGGTATGTAAGTTTACTTTTTCCTCCTCTACAGGAATGGATGCAGTAAAGAAGACTTTTCAGATCGACTCTGTACGTCTGAGGAAATATGAGATACCGATTAAGAGAGTAGCCAGAAATCTGTGCTTGGACCCAGCGCTCATCGCTGCCATCATCTCGCAGGAGAGCCGTGTTGGCCTTCTCTTAAACAATGGCTGGGACCAGGGAAGACGCAAGTTTGGCTTGATGCAGGTACTGCAGTAAGAGAACGAAAATTGAAAGCCCTGGCTACCAAAACAGTAATATACTAGGTGTTTCAAGGCTTTATCTTAACAAATGACAGTCTGATATTCAAGACATCACTTAAATGCATGCCCTCCCAAGAATACATCAAAGTTTTGGCTTACATGTTACCCAAATTAAGGTCACTTACCTGAATCACCGCCTAGGAGTATGAAGAAGCAGGAAAAGCTGTAGTAGTGGCTGTGTTCAGACACAAACTAATTTTCTTATTTGACTTTCCTAGATTGATAGACAGTATCCTAACCTTTATGGAACCTGGGATAGTGAAGAACACATAAATCAATGCTCAAATATCCTAGTGGTTGCAATTAATGAAGTTCGGGCAAGACATCCCACCTGGACCATGGAACAGCAGCTGAGAGGTACAATATCTGCTATACATTGGAAAAGGACACTTGAGATTAGGTGCAGAAACAAAGTTGTAAGTTGCATTAGCTGCCCCATGAAGATTTTAACGACTGGTATTCTTAAATCAGAGAGGGGGAAAAAAAAAGCCTTTTTCTATTTTCCCCTGTCAGTACTTTAGTTTCTGATTCATGTTTCAGTGTGCACACTGACAAATTTTCATACTAACGTAGGTTCAGTTTTGTTCCCTGTACGCTGCTTTGTTAGGGTTTTTCTTTTTCTTTCCCGATTTGTATATACTTTTAAAATATCGTAAGAAGGTTTCTAATACATTTAATTAACAATGATGATTTGTTGTTTACATGTCAACGGGGCAAAAGCCTCTGAGTGATGTGAGCCTTTTGCATTTTTTGATGTTGGTTTTAAGGGAAAACAGCATCGGTCTGGCAGATTTTATAGCATCTCTTACAAGAAAACAGCATTTTCTAGTTTGAAAGCAACAATTCCAAAACAGCTGCCAGCAACTAAACTGTTGATAGATGCAGCTTCCCAGATAAAAGCTGTCCACGGGGCACTCATGTTTCTGTCTGCATTCAGAAACTACATTGGTACATTAGCTGCATGACAACTTTCCTGCAAGAGGAAAGGCTGGATAGAGTCTCAGCAGGTTTCCACTTGAATTCAGCAATGAAAGCTCATAGAGCATCCCTATGTACCACAGCTGATGAGTGACCAAAGTTTCTTTAAAGGAAAAACATGTTATTTTGCTCAGTGGACATGGACAGGTTTTAAGTTATCCTCTCATCTCTTTGTCCTACAAGGGAAATGGTTATAGATGAGGTAAAAAGAGGTAAACCACCAGGAAAGAGAGGAATTGAGGCATTGCAAAAACACAGGATTTTCATGGCAGGCTACTGAATTGTGTCGAGGAGCCTTGGGACCTACATTTGCTTGTAATCTGTATTATCCACATTTTATTGGTTCATGCAGTGTATTTCCTGCTATCCCATCCTTGCTCTGTCCTGGCATTTTCTGGGCCTAGTATGCCATTCCCACCCACATTTTGAGATGATTGTGGATTTCCTGGGGGTTGCAAAATAAAAACATGTGAAGATTAAGATACTTTTCATCAATTAAAACAAAATTAGCAGTTTACCAAGCTGTTGTATATGTCCAATGAGATTTACTGTTCTTCCAGCTAGGAATTTCAATGTTTGAACCTTTAATATTTATCTATAAGCCAAAAATGTTAATAACTTTTTTTTTTTTTTTTGCTTCCAGGAGGAATCTGCACCTATCGTTCGAGGATTGGCAATGTCCAGGTCTATGATGAAGACCCATGCCAGAGAGACAACTACTATGTCAATAATGTTATTAGGCGAGCCCAGTACTTTAAGAGAAATGGGTTCTAGCTCATTAACTAACCCCATCAAAGACCTTCTTTGCAGATGGACTGGCCTTCTCACAACTTGGGGAGACACAGGAACATCTGAGGGAAATTGATGTTGCATAGACTAACCTGATAGTGATTGTAGTATAAAAATCAATTCCTCCAGGTTTTCCTGGTAAGCGTGTGCTGGCAGCAGCAGTAAAGGACTTGCTCCAGCAGTCCAGTGTCCCCTGTCCTCAACTGTCCCCACTTGCCTGGCAGAGGGAGCAGGCCATTGCCACAGGGCAAGCTCAGCTGTGCCTGCCAGAGGGTACCAGGGTCTGTCAAGAACTAGAAGTCAAGAGCTCAGGGCCTTTAAAAGGAGACGGGACCATGTTCAAATACTGGATTAGGAAGGAGTTATTCACCTCCTCCTGTCCAAAACTGAACTTAGCACTGATTGTATATCCCCCAGATGCATATGTACTAGCAGTTCTGCCTTTGTACCAGCTGTGCTGTTCCTGTCTTGATCCCCACCCTTCCCTCTGCCATCCAAAAGGGAGGAAAAAGCCCCCAGAATTAAATCCTTCTTTCCTCCTGATTATGCTGGCTACTTGGCAAGGAAGAGACTTCTTTCTGAGTCTTTGATCTTTGGACATTTCTGCATTTAGCTGATTATTCCTGTGGTCAACCTCACCAGGAAAACACAAAATGCACATTTCTTTTTTAGTCTCTTTAGCCCTGAAGCCCACAGTAGTGGCATGGTTAGTAAACTCTACAGGATAAAAAACAGCCTTATACAGAGAAATCCTCTATATCGGAAACACTACAAGTGCTGCAGGAAGTCAGCAGCACACTTTTCTGTTAGAGACCAATTCTCCAAGCAGGAACCAGCTGCATATGTACCCACCACAGGAACTGTATCACACTAGTACTGTTGGTGTAAACCTCACAACCTCTCCTGCTTTAGCTTCGGCACATCTGTATTGTGGCCTGTCAAGTTTAAAACATGCATATATGTCAGCATCTGTCCCTCTGTCAGGAATCCCAGCTTTTAATTAGGAATTTTTTTGGATTTAGGTTTATAAACTTTGTTTGGGAAAGTGTTCTTTCAATGCGGATGGATCTGGGTGCAAATTTAGGTTTACTAAGAGTCCAAATAAAGAGAAATGTTGTATTCCAATGTTGTGAATGACTCATCTTTGCAAATTCATCAGAGTCAGTGGGTAGCAACATGTGGCTTCAGTAAGCAAACCAATTCAATCCTCTTGGAATGGATCTATAGCTCAAGCTGAAACTATGTAGGGGAATTGTCCCTAGGGGAACAGAGGGGTGAAAAGAACTGAATTGAGAGACAGAGTGTGAGGGGGCAGATTCACAGTCTCCAGCCTCAAAGCAGTGCCCAGGACATGGGGAGGAAGTTCATCTTTAACCTTCCAGTCACCATTTCGGGGGCACAAGGGTGTTCTGCTGTTTGTCACTGATGCTTATGTCCAGAAGCGTGGGGTTAGTGTGACCCATGGCTCACGAATGTGGGCTGCCCACAAGAGTCACTGCAGCTGGGCTGAAAGCTGATTTGGAGAAAGCTCTTGAAAGCAGAACAATTTTAACTCTGTTCTCCTTGATTTCCTATGGTCTCACCAGTCACTCTTCTGCTTATTCTTCACAGCAAGGACTGTGCTTATCCTTCAAGGCAAATTCAGTGTTTGTCATCTCTGGAGACCAGAAGGAGCTATAAGGCCTCCTTAATGTTGCTGCTTTTTTTTTTTTTTTTTTAAGATTACAGAAAACAATTCAGTGTTGAGCAGCCAGGGGTATTAAGCTATCCATTATTTAGTCTTTAGTGAATTCTGCACTATACAAAGAAGATAATTTTAGCAAAATTACCACTCTGTAATAAGGACTTTGAAATATACCACATGGTTTGATTATTTGAAATAGCTCATGTAAAATTCATAGGTTGAAGTCTTTGCTTCATTATGTTATGTAAACCACTCACTTTATTTCACTTCCTATAACTCCTTAACTACTAATGCACTGAATAAAACCAGGTCAACTCAGCCTGTAGGAGATCAATGAAATGGAAAGAGTTTTGATGCACCTAATTTTGATTTCACTGTGGTTATATGATACCTTATGATCTTTGACTGACCTGCCTTCTAATAAATTCAATTTAATTTTTGCTTGTTTTTGGACACTGTACACATGTCTGGCAGATCAATATGATATTCAGACGAAAGGGCGGAATCCCAATGCCACCTACTTGCACAAAGTGGCTTTTTTGAGCTTGGAGGATGAACAAGAGTGGAGCTGGCATTGGATTCATTCATGTTTCCCATTTGCTGACAGCAAGCACCTTGTTACTTGTGCATGTTGCCATCCATGGGGATCTGCGAGTTTCTCAGGAGCCCAATTTTGACAAATGTCATAGTGTGTCACCTGAGAAGCTACTCATTACAGCAACAAGTGAGGGCTTGTAGAGCTGCCTACTGGTTAGGGCCACAGAGTAAATTTTGTTTAGTCCACTTAAAAGAAGTCCTGACTGCCACAATTGCACATTTTACTGCAAATATTGTTTCATTGTTTCATTGCTTATCATCATCGCAAGCTTATACTGAGTACACAAAATACGGGTGGAAAAAAAAAGAAGTAGAGATTGATTGCTTGGTAGGCTGACAGGAATGAACAAATAACTAAGGAAAGCTTAACACCAGCACAAGCAAAGGCTTGAGCAAACCTTTCCTGGCAAACATCCATACTGGTTTTCCTCTCTGATCTTTTCACGATCACTCCTGTCTGTTGTGCTCAGAGGTGTTTGTCTCACTGATGCACGCAGGGCTGCCACAGTGGCACCCATGCTCCCCCTTTATATCTGTTGCCAGCTGCACTGGGAACGGATAGCCAGGTTGGGTTGCAGGGGCTGCCCTGGGCAAGGAGAGGCCATGGACACTCCGTGCTGGTCACAGTTGGGTCCAGCCACCTGAGCAAAGGGTAGAGATGGGCCTACATGCCAAAACACATGCCAGAACAAGGACATTCCTGAGGGACCATGACCATGGACAACCACGTCGGGAAGGGACACACCTGAGGGACCATGGCTGTGGGGGACTTACATGGGGCAGGACAACCTCCAAGGGACCATGGTCCTGGGGCACCCATGTGAGATCTTCAAAACCTGCTTGGATGCAATCCTGTGCCATGTGCTCTAGGTGACCCAGCATGTGCAGAAGGGTTGGACCAGATGATCTCTAGAAGTCCTTTCTAACCTTAATGATTCTATGGTTCTATGTGGGGGAGGGAAACCTCCACGGGCCTGTGACTGTGGGGACCCACACGGAGCAAGGACACCTCCAAGGGACCACAGCCATGAAGGACCCATGTGAGGCAGGAACACCCTTAGGGACCATAGCCATGGAAGACCCACATGAAGGGCTGCACTCCTGCCAAGAGAGGCCATTGGGGCTAACTCCAACCGCAGCCCATAGGGGTGGCCATGTGGCACATGGCAAAGTCCAAGGAGGGAGTGGAGACCCTGGAGGGTGGAGGAGAGGTACTGGACTGAAGCTGAGCCCAAGGAAGGAGGAAGGAAAGATATTTCCCTAAGCACTTAATTGCCAGTGTCTCCTTCCTTTCTTAACACCAGCACCAGTAATTAAAAGTTGGCTTGCTGGCAGTGCATTTAATTCTAAGTGCCTGGGTAAAGCCTGTTCAGCCCATGATGGAAAAACATGATGGAAAATCTCGGAAAACAAAGTAACGTCATATCCGCATGCGCCACAAAGCAGGAGAAAGGAGAGGGAAAAGTGCTAATTGGGAATCAGAGTGAGGGGAAAGAAAGAAGCTTCAGAAGGTCCCAGAGCAGCCGCCGTATCCAGCTCCCTCCTGCCTGCGCTAAGGCTGTCTGCAGTGAAAGGGCATTAAGTGATTAAAGAAGATTAATGAAACTGAGCAAAACAAGTGCCAAACAGCCACCGCATGCCGAGCAGGTCACATACCCATGGCTGGAGGGGAACGGGGCCAGCGGTCACCCCACTAGTAGTGCTGGGGGTGGGTCTGGGGGGAAACCAAATGATTTGCCAGGCTAGGGGGCACAGAGAAAATAAATAAATAAGAAGGAAAACCTCATTTTGCGATGGCCTTTGCCCCAGCACCGCGCATTGAGCAGCCAGGGCTGCGCCCTGCGTCACCAGCACTGCTGAGGCACCATGATGGCACCTGAGCGCGTTGGGCCTGCCAAGAGGCAGGATCACAGCTCAAACCAGGGCATGGCCTGCAATAAACTCAACAAACACAACTTACAGCAGTCACCTTTTTTTTTTTTTTTAATTTCTTCTCATTCTTCCTGGAAGGAGAAGAACACAACCCTGATTTCCTAAGATCAGGGCAGGGCGAGTGCTGAGGCTTGGCTCCTTCAGGGGAGGTTTGTGTCGGATGCTTTGAAAAACCTGGAGGGTGGTGAAGCAATGTGACCTTCTCTGGAGGTTTTAAAGAACAACAGGGATTAATATTTAACGGTAGCAGCAGCATAGCAGGGGAACAAGGTAGGGGAATTAGATTTTGTTAAGGACTTTTCCAAGCAGACTTTTCTGCATCGGCATTTACTGTAAGCAAATAGACACAACAACAAATTTGAGGTAAGGAAGCAAAACCTTTGTTTGGAGTCTATGCTTAGTTTTTAAAGCAAATTGAGAAGTGTATTCAAATGTTTAATATGAATTTTGTCACAAATGTAGCAAAGTGTGGATTCCTTCAGAGAACATGGGAAAAAAAAGGGCAAACCTCATCACAGATCCTCCTTACAATAAGTAGTGAATGTGAGGTGGAAAGCTTGCTTTCTCACACCCTTGCAGATCCTTGGCAGAGGGAGCAGTTCAACAACCCTTTTAACCGGTACCTGAAACAGTGAGAAACCAGTGCAAAAAGCAGGTCAGGCGAAGTCATAAGCCCCAGGGGAGGCGACTGACCCTAAATGCTGGAGTTGGATTGGTTTTTGCCTCGTGTCCCCATCTTTCTCTCTCAGGAAGAGAGAAAATAAAGCAAAAC